ATATATATATATATATATATATATATTATTTGTGGGATCGGAATTTTCATATGGCCGAATTTTATTTGTAATTTTTTCCAACTTCCCATCTCTGTCGAAAACCCTCGGCTATGTCAAAAACCATCGCGTGAACGAAACTTTCAACTTTCGCGGTACAGTCGCCATTAGAGCTGGGACGATAACGACGGGATCGTGGCTTACACTTACGATAACTCCCATCTTTCTCATCATTCCGCTCTGCTCCTACTAGAAACCATTGAGGAAGGTGAGCTTGTTCGCGCCATTTTTCCTCTTCGCTCGTCCAGGATTTACTAATTCCGCCGATTCACAGGATTTAGTAAACCCCGGACTTATCGCTAATCGGCATCATTTTGGGATTTACGGGAGCTCAAGATTTACGGAGGCAAAAAATATTTTTGCCGTTTAAATCCTGCATAAACCCTGCTTAAAACCGGCTACCAAACAGCCCCTTAAAATCCTAATTGCAACCAAACATACAAAAGTGATGGTGGTTATTGAGTATTTATTGTCTCCATTGTAGTATTTAGTTTCCTTTATTAGTAGATTGAGCGAATCTTGCTCCTGTCACATGTTTGCATGCTTAACTTGGTTTGTGACTATTTTGTATAATCCCGCAGAAATGGACATTTTCGACCATATAAATTTTTTCATATATATTATGTATCAATTAACCTCATCTTATTTTCTGAAGAAATAGTTATCAAAGTACCAATTGCCTCTTTCCCCCGAGGCAGGGGATTTTGAGCTAGAAAATGTGCGGAATAGCTGCAGTTATCAGTGGGATTCAGATCATCGGATCCAATCTTTCCAGGAAAACGAAGGAAGCTTCGCCTTTAGAAGCCAAAAAGGTTTCTTTCCTCTATTTCGACCTTCCAGTCAATCTCCCCTTTCTGAAACTTTGTTGTAGTTTAATCCTATCCAAATTTAAACGTGGAGATTTCATGACATTGTATTTAGGGTCTTATTTTGTGTTATCAAATAGGTTTACATAATTCTGCTTATTGATTTATTTACTTGTGCAGGACTATGGATCAGTTCTTGTAACTATAGATAACCTCAAGTCTGCTTTGCAAAGAAGAGGTCCTGATAGCTTGGGGTGCAAAAATGTTTTGATTCAGTCAGAATGTGAAAATTTGGTTAAAAAATGCGGTACCTTTTCTTGTTGCATAGTTTTAAACTTGTTATATCTTTGTTTTTGTTTCTTTAACACTTGATAAGCTAATGCTTATATAACAGATATTAAAGTAGATAAAAGTCAATATTTTTCTTTCTGCCCTTGAAACATGGTTAACTGTACGATTTCATCTGCACCAGAAACAACTTGCACAAAGGATGTAAGTGTCAGTGGAATGAATTCTACTGCACAAGTACATTTCATTGGTGCAATGTTACAACTTAGGGGCTTAAGTCCGGTTTCTCAGCCGCTAGAGGATGCATCTGGGAATCTTCTTGTATATAATGGTACGTCATTATAGCTTTGCTAATACTTATATTCAAGAGGATTACCAAATACAGTTTGATTGGTGGATAATGACTTTGGTTTGTCTTCAGGTGTATTTTTTTATATCCTTTTACCCCATTTTTAATTCTCTTATCTTGTTGTCCATTATCCATTTTCATGAATTTATAGGTCATGCTGTTATCTGATTTTCAATCATTTTGAGGATTCTACATAATTTATATAATGTATTATTTCAGCTTTTTTTTTAATAAAGTGCATGCGTATGTTTCTCTTTATACATTTTTCACTCAAATTAATTTTCACCATTTGCTAAACAATTTAAAAGGATATAATAAATGCTTTATTTTTCCTTAATAAAAGTTATTTGGCCTATTATCAATATATCAGTATTTGCTGGGAAAATTTTGGGTTGACTATAGAGGAGTGTTTATTGATACTTTATTTTATAAATCACTACAGAGTTATATGTATTAGAGAATATTTGAATATCATGTGGAGTCATAGAGTTAGCATCTAAAAGAGCAACATCTGTTGATTTAGTTTCCTGCAAGCTAGCTTTCATAGTTTTCTAATAGAAAAAAAGGGGAAGTGTTGGGTTATGCTGCTATCCCTTTATCTATCTTCCTTATTAGCTTGCTTTTTTATTGCTAACATTGACATTATTTATGAAATTGCCTTTTTTTGTGCAATTTTAACTGAGGCCCTTTTATTTGAAGGCGAAATATTTGACGGTATACACATTGCTGATGATAGCAATGACTTGGAAGTTCTTCTCCATGAACTTGAAACATGCTGTTCTTTTGACTGTCATGAATACATTGATGGATTTTCTAATTCAGACCATGGGAAATCTATACCTGATGTCCTTTCAACTATCAAAGGCCCATGGGCTTTCATTTACTGGCAGGTGCCTCAGTTGAATATATTGGCCTTTGTGATTTGACTAATAACCTTTTTTCATCGTCTGTACCTGTTGAAATTTTCTTAATATTCCAATTTCAGGATAAGTCAAAAACTATGTGGTTTGGTCGAGATGCATTCGGTAGAAGAAGTCTCCTGGTCCACTGGCCAACATGCACCGACTCTAGATTTATTCTATCTTCAGTTTCACCGCCTTTATTTGTAGAAAACCATTCAGGTATATAACTCACACTATCTCACATATCTCATACTACCTTCACACGCATGAGTGTTCTATCATCATACTAGCATTATTTCCATGCAATGAATTCTCTTAAACGAATGTATCCATGAATGGGTTGGTGTAGCTCCAGTGGTAGACAATATTAGAGAGAGTTATGTCTTAGATGGTTTGGGAACATTAAACATCGACCATCTAATGATCAGGTTAGGAGAGTAAATGTTTTAGATTCGACTTTAAGAAGGAAAGATGTAGACCTAAAAAGGCTTGGGCATTTTCTTGTTTATGAAGTTTCTTTATATAATACTATGCATATGTTGGAGCCATGGCAATACATAAATGATGAATTGTTTCTCATAAACTATCCTTGGAATACTATCTATCTTCCAAAATGTTGATGACAGATTTCTGGGAGTATGAGAAGCTAGGAAAATTATTTAGTTGGATATTGTCTTAATTTAAGTGCTTCTAGTATAAACATATGACATTGAATAGAGGTGTGGCTTAGTGGTTTGGAGCTTTCACTCCTCTCCATTGGCCTGCACTCGAATGCACTTACTAATTTTAATAAATTGCACCTTTGTGCTTTTCTATCACAAAATAAACATGAAAAATGAAGCTATTTTTGATAAATTTTTCTTGACGTATTATTAAATCTGTAGTCTCATTAATGGTGAAACTACTTCTCTTGTAGGTTCAAACTTCATAAAGAATGGACTTGAAAATGAGATGGCTAATGTTGTTACAAGTTCAGCAAATGAAATTTGCTACTGGGAAGAACTTCCTTGTGGAATTTACAGCATAGAGTTAAATATCTCAAATAAAAATGTGCAATTCATGAAGGAAGACTTGTTAGGTGTTGTTCGAAAGCACAGATGGAGGAATCCCCGATTAAGTAAAGTTATCTCATGGGATCGATTGCTCCTGGATCCCAAGATAGAACACGTTCATTCAATTCAAACAGAGCAACTTCCACTACCAGCCGATTGTTTAATAGGTACATGTTAAATGCGTGAATCAAGTATAATCAGGTGAAATAAGCTAAGTTTTTAATTATTGGACAGTAGTTATTTCACAATCAGTTTAGATAGTGACACTCGAGAAAGGAAATGGATTTAGTTTTGCAGCTTGGGGTCTTAAATCAAATATAAAGTTTTCGTTATTAATTTTTGGCACATATAACCAATAATCATATAACTTTCTAGCATTCATTTTGGGCCCACTCTCCGTGGGCTGGAATCCAAATTGGGTAAGTTATGATGCAGTCATGTCTGTTATGTGTTTCCTCGTTTATGTAGAATGACTCATTTTCATTGTTTTGATTTTCACGTACCATTTTATCACCATCATGATAAAGGAAATGCCAAGGCAGACATCTATTAATGTCTTGAGTGGAATGAATCACCTAGGCTATGTCTAATATAAAATTCTCACTTAAAAAAGTTACAAAGAGGGTAAGTAACAAGAGTTGTTTAGTGCTGATAAGTCACATTGCACCATAAATAACATTGTTTTGAAAGAACATTTTCGTCGATTGAAGCTTGGCTTTGAGGTTGTTGAGCTGTATTGTGGAAGGGCTTGATTAGAATTATGGGCTCGTTTTGTGGTACTATACTTTATATATAGTCAATCATAGAAACTGTTTGCTGCTGAGAGTGAGGTGCATTTGTTGTCTTATAATATCAATGAAATGGCTTGGGAAAAAAAAATAACTCTATATAAAGGGAGCAACTAGTTGAGATGACGAGGAGGTGGGCATCATCATCCCTTCCACCAGCATTGTCCCAAGGATTTTTGTTATTTAAAAGCATTTCTAAATCCATTTATAAGCATGATTTAAGAGGTATCCTTTGAAAAGGACCTGAATGCATGATACTGATTTTGAAAAAAACCTAAAATTCAAAACAAACAGATAGTTTCCTCTAGGATTTTGCTTGGTCATAAATTGTCTCAGTTATTTGTTGAAGTTTGAACTTCATTCTTTTATAGGTCCTTAGGTTTTTGTCACTACAAGACTAAACAATTTAAAACATAGTTGTCAAAATTTTTAGTTAAATTTTCTGAAGTTTGGCCCGTTTTAACCCATTTTGGTTGCTTGACATGTTCTTTCTCGCAAAACTCAGAAAGATCACTTAGGGTCTGTTTGGCGCAGCTGTTGATTATTTATAATCTGCTGATAAGCAGATTATTTTGATAATCTGCAGATTATCAAAATAATCTGGCTTGCTGTTTTGGGCAGCTTATTCAGATTAGCTTATTGGTGGTAATGACATTCCTGCCTATGTCTGATAAAACTGTTTATGACAGCTTATTCAGAATAGCTTATTGGTAGTACAGAAGCATATAGTGCAGAAGCATACAATCATCACAGATCAGTTCCAAAAGATGAGATACAGTTCTCACACTCTCGTGAGTACCAGAAGAAATAAAAAAAGTATATAGACAAGTACAACTACAATTAGAAATATTAAAATATTTTCATACTCTGGCTACACCTGTCCTCATCTGCACTATCAACCTGAGAAAACATCGGATTTTCATGACTGCTGCCAGTGTAATATGTGAGACTGTCAGCCCATCGGAAAAAACCACAACGAGCAGAAACACCCTTGGCACAACCATAGAACTGCCTCCCAAAGCTATTAGACTGACGCGACGTGAGCAACGGAGACGGTAGTCTAAAATAACACAAAATACCTCTGTCTGTAACTTATATCCTAGAAGCCATGTTTGTATAACTGCAAAAAAAAAAGAATGTCATTACTTATCCCAAAAAAATTAGATACACCTAAAAATTAATCTACATATATACAAAGAAAAGGATTTGCTGGATTAGCTGCCATATATAGCATTTGCTATAGACTCCTTCAGAGCAGCCATCTCAGTCACACCCTCCGCGTCATGAACTACAAATTCATTAAATTCATTCTCATCCTCAGAAACTGAAGGCCCGATCATGATTTTCGATGGTTCTTCAAAGACTGTCAGTTCTTCGTTATCAGCCATACTAATGTCTGTATCTGAACGTGAAGGGTGTTGCCGTATGAAGTTATGAAGTGCCCTTGTTGCCAACACAATATGTACCTGCTTTTGAAATAGATATGATGACATATCACGTAGGATGACACATTTCTTCTTCCACACACCAAACGTTCTTTCAATTAGCCCACTTAAAGAAGAGTGGCGTTTGTTAAACATTTCTTTTCTACCACGAATAGCATAAACAAAAATTTGACTATCATGTGCACTCCCTTCCCAACCCGCCATAACATATGTGAAACACATGTTGAAGTCACATACCGCCATGACATTTTGAGTAGTCGATCCACTTCGACCAATGTAAGCAATCTTATCCTGGCCTGGGTATTCGGGTATCAACGTGAGTACCATCAATTGCACCTATGCAGTTCTGTTTTACAACGTTAGAAAATATTTAGATGTTGTTATGAAAGAAAATAAAAGAATGGTTACCTTAAAGTAAGACATGTAACGGGGATCGACTGCGATTTGTCCTAGAGTATTAGCAAATGATGGATCCTCTGGCCTGATGATTTTAGAGGCTAAGCTAACAAGTGCATGTATGCCTTTGAAAAAATAACGACTTATTATCTCTGATGAATGCTGAAATCTCTCAATAGCACCTCTAATTGATTGATTATGTGACAGAATATATAGTGTTATAGCTAATACCTCCCTTCTCGTCGTTCTCGAGGAACCTTGGAGTCCATGATTGAAGGATAACTCATGCAAGAGATTCATAGAGATCGGTACTGTCATTCAAAATATGTTACTAAACCTAATAGGATGTCCAGAAAGCATTTCGTCGACCCATTTATTCCCAACAAAACTGGAGGTCATTTGGGGTATACAAGCACTGCTTGATCAGTAATACTCCAATAATAATATGACAATAGCTGCAGCCCATGCCATTCTCTTACGACGTTCATGTTGTGGATCCATCATAAAGAAAGAAAGATCTCAGTTATTTCATCAATTATTAAGCAATACAGCGAAATAAATAAATAATGAGAACACTCAGCTAGTTAAAATACATTTTAAATAAAATAAAAGCTCTGCTAATATGCATTTAGGAATCAATTAAAAGTACATTTTAAAAAAGAAACACACCTCTAAATAACAGATGAGTTCATAACGTTGCAGATTACACATACAATTCTAAGAACTCAATCATTTACAATAACACTTAAATATTCGACTCGCAACTCTGGTTCCATCGCCATAAATATGTGCCTACGTGTTGGATCCTCGAGTTTTTTCATACATATTACATGAAAGTGCTTATCCGCTACAACGTCAGGGATGTTTTTCAAAGTGCGAATACATTCGAAGATAGTTTTGTCAGATAGTGGAGCAGGCGGTGGTGCTCCAAAAGCATCTATGAGTTATCCTTCAAGAACAATGTAAAAGGCTTATCAAACAATTCCAACATTGTAACGATTCCCACTGCATTCCTTCATGAACAATATAAAAGGGACGCATTGAAGCACATTCCAATAGTATTATACGATTCCCACTTTTCGAACCAAAATTTAGCATAAAGGAATAGGGATGGGAAGAACAAAGATTCCTACATTGCGAACCAAAATTTTCCTCATTGCTCATTTGCATTTCTCAAGAAAACCCTAAAAAAAAATAAAAAAATGCAGAAAAAACTCACGAGAAAACCTCAGATCCATTTCCATCAACGTTTTTTCAACCCTAATCCAGCAAAGGCATCCTAAAGAAAACTCTAAAGAAAACCAATTGTTGCAAAGAAACCAAAGATAACCGAATCGAGGCACATATAGATCGAACAACGAAGGAGAAGACCGAATCTTGCAAATAAAAACCAACCAGAGAAGATCGAACGACCAGAAAGCATTGCGGCATATAGATCTCACCAGAAGAGTCGATGTTTACGAAGGAGAAAATTGGGAAAGGAGATGGCGAGGGAGAGCGCGAGAGAGATATCACAGGGGCACTGGAGGAATAGAACCCTAACAAACGCCGAACGTAAGAGGAGCCCCGTGTGTGATGTGTAGAAGGAAAAAATGTACGCGATTATCGTCTTTTTAAAAACGCCCTTCCGAATGCTTTAAACAAACGCCAAGGCGGTGTTTTCAAAACACCGCCGCACCTAAATAAGCTGCCCCAAACAGACACTTAATGAACATGAGATGATGGTGTAAACTCCTTGCACGAGAAAGAAGTCGAAAGTGAGAATTTGACTCTTTCAACCTCTCTTCAATTATCTGAAGAGACAAAAAGACGATTTCTCCTCTCTTACATATCTATGCTCTTCTAGAAAGTTTCCACTGCAACTAGTATGCTTAGGTGAGAAACTTGTTCGGTTCATTATTTGGTTAAAGTATTTCCACAGTGATTAGTTATGTTATTCTTGAATAGAGTAAAGCTATTATGCGTGCTTTGAAAAATACCCATGGATTGAAGTAGTCATCTTTCATTGTGGCCCCAAGGCAGAAATCAGGTTATACGTTTCTTTATTGATTAATGTCTGTGTTAGGATTTCAAATTTTCCATCCATAGAAAAATTGAAACCATTTTCGTTCATTTTAACCATACCATTTTGTGCTTCACTAAAGCTGTACAAACACATTTTAAGCTTTAGCTACTATGCTACTTTATCAATGTATGACTAAAATGGTGAGAATTGAACACGATTCATTTGAGATTGCTATCTTTATATAATATTGGTTTAGATTTTGCCTTCATGGTTTAGTTTTGAAGCAATAGCTTGGTCGGTTTGATTTTTTCGATTTTAGAATCGAAATTGATATGTTCAACAAATCTTAAGCTTTAGCTACTATGCTACTTTATCATTGTTTCACTTAAATGGTCAAAATTGAACATGACTCATTTGAGATTGCTATCTTAATATAATATTGTTATAGATTTTGCCTTCATGGTTTAGTTTTGAAGCAATAGCTTGCTCGGTTTGTGTTTTTTGATTTTAGAGTCGAAACTAATATGTTCAACAAAATTTGTCAAAAAATGGAGGGTTGAGTTAGGTTGTTGACAACCGGCGTAAAATATATTGAAAAATCATGACATAGATCCCTTTGATCATTCTGTAAATATTAGGACGTCCATTGGAAGCGACATGCTTTATGGCCTGAATACACTTAAAAGTGTGTAAGGGCCATTACACCTACGCTCGGGTGTAGCGTCAAATAAGCAATGGTTTCCACGTTACAGACGGATGTAGGTAAAAAAGTTAGTCAATTAAAATAATATTGCGATAGGATCTTGGAATACATGTTTTCTCGGGTAAATTAATGAAATTAGTTGATATTATGATTCGTAGAAAGATAAATATCTTATGTATTCAAGAAACTAAGCGTTTGTTTGGGGCAGCTGCAACTTATTGAATAATCTGCTGATAAGTTGATTAAAAAATCTACTGATAAGCTGGTTTCGCCGGCTATTACAAATTTTTATTTTTTTTGAAAAGCCATATCGCAGCCAGAAAGTTGCCACTGCACCGCACGTTAATAAGTGCGGTGTGAAAACGCTGTTTTCAGCGTTTTGAAAATGCATAAGCTGCCAAAACGCAGTTTACCCAATTAGGTCAGCTGCGTTTTCAAAACGCCACCGCTCCAAATAAGCTGCCCCAAACAGACCCTAAATGAGTTGGAGAAAATGCTAAGCATATTTTTGATTTTAGAGTCGAAACTAATATGTTCAACAAAATTTGTCAAAAAATGGAGGGTTGAGTTAGGTTGTTGACAACCGGCGTAAAATATATTGAAAAATCATGACATAGATCCCTTTGATCATTCTGTAAATATTAGGACGTCCATTGGAAGCGACATGCTTTATGGCCTGAATACACTTAAAAGTGTGTAAGGGCCATTACACCTACGCTCGGGTGTAGCGTCAAATAAGCAATGGTTTCCACGTTACAGACGGATGTAGGTAAAAAAGTTAGTCAATTAAAATAATATTGCGATAGGATCTTGGAATACATGTTTTCTCGGGTAAATTAATGAAATTAGTTGATATTATGATTCGTAGAAAGATAAATATCTTATGTATTCAAGAAACTAAGCGTTTGTTTGGGGCAGCTGCAACTTATTGAATAATCTGCTGATAAGTTGATTAAAAATAATCTACTGATAAGCTAGGTTCGACGGCTATTACAAATTTTTATTTTTTTTGAAAAGCCATATCGCAGCCAGAAAGTTGCCACTGCACCGCACGTTAATAAGTGCGGTGTGAAAACGCTGTTTTCAGCGTTTTGAAAATGCATAAGCTGCCAAAACGCAGTTTACCCAATTAGGTCAGCTGCGTTTTCAAAACGCCACCGCTCCAAATAAGCTGCCCCAAACAGACCCTAAATGAGTTGGAGAAAATGCTAAGCATATTTATAACTTAGGTTTTAAACTTTGGTATTCATGTAAGAATCATGTTAGAAATATTGTAGGTGTAATTATAGATAAGAGTTTGAAAGATAATGTTGTAAAAATTAATAGAATTGGAGATAGAATTATAGCCCTTAAGATTATTGTTGATACTAAGATTTTTAATATTATAAGTGCTTATGTTCCTCAACTAAGTCTAGATATAGATCATAAACAAAAATTTTGGAATGACTTGACTTAGAAGACTTAATACAAATGATACCTCTTGAAGAAAGAATTTTTATTGGAGGAGATTTAAATGGACATGTCGACAGAGTGGTAGAAAATTTTAGAAATATTGATGGTGGCTACGGTTTTGGAGTGAGTAATGTAGAAGGTAGAGCAATATTAAATTTTGCATTAGTGTATGATTTTGTTACTGCTAATACTTTATTCAAGAAAAGAGATAAACATATTATTACATATAAGAATTGATCTAATAAAATACAAATTGATTATTTTCATATGAGAAGAAATGATCGTTGAGAATGTAAAGATTGTAAGGTCATTCTAAGTGAGAATTTAAATACTCAACATCGATTATTAATTTTAGATTTTAGATGAAGAGTTGTAAAATAAAGAATACTAGGAGTCATTGTCGTAGAATTAGATGGGGGTACCTAAAAGACAATAAAATTATTTTTATTAGTAAAATTCAACATTTCAAAATTTTAGATGTTCATGAAGAAGCAAATTCTATGTGGGATAAAGTAACAAACACTATTAAACAAGTGATAAAAAATATACTTGGAGAATTAAAAGAAAAATTTTCTATAAATAAAAATAGTTGGTGGTGGAATAATAATATGTACAGAAAAAAGATAAAATATAAGAAGTTATGTTATGAAAATTTGTTTAAATGTAAAAGCTTAGAGAATTAGGAAAAATATCAAATGGCCCCGTAGGGTGTCTAAGAGAACAATCTGCGACGCTAAAAATTTTACTTTTAGTGATCTTTATAATATATTAGATATTAAGGAGGGTGAAAAATATATGTATAAACTAGCCAAACATAATGAAAACAAAAGTAAAGATTTAACTCAAGTAAAGTGTGTTTAAGATGAAAATCAAAAACTGTTTTTCTTAGAGAAAAAGATATTCAACAAATGTGGGTGAGTTATTTTGATAAATTTTTTAATGAAGTTTCTGAAAATAATATTGACCTCAGTGATCTTAATATCGTTAATAATAATAAAACGTTTTATTTTTGCCGTCACATTAGTAAAAAGAAGTTGATGGAGCTTTAAAGAAAACCAAGGGGGGAAAGTTTGTATGACATCTGAATTGAAGTGTGGACATATATAGGAGATTTGGGAGTTTCTTGGCTTACTAAACTCTTAAAATTATTTTAAATACTAAAAAGGTGCCCGAGGAGTGGAGGAAGAGTATTTTGGTCCCTCATTTTTAAGAATAAGGAGATGCAAAAGAGTGTGCAAATTATAGAGGAATTAAGTTGATGTTTCATACTTTAAAGTTATGCAAGAGAGTAATTGAACATAGATTAAGACGTATTACAAAGATTTTTCATAATCAATTTAGATTTATGCCGGGTTGGTCTATTATGGAAGCTATACATTTATTGAGAGGTTTAATGAAGAAGTTTTGAAATAATAAGGAGGATCTACATATGATTTTTATTGATTTAAAAAAAGCTTATGATAAGGTTCCAAGAGATATCCTTTGGAGAGTTCTTGAGAAGAAAGGTAATTGATATGACTTATATTTGAGTCATTAAAGATATGTATACTAGAGTTGTTTCTTGTGTTCGAACAGAAGGAGGATTGGCCAAATATTTTCCTATTTCTGTTGGATTACATCAGGGATCGGCTTTAAGCCCATATCTTTTTTCTTTAGTTGTGGATGGTCTTACTGGACCTTTACAAGAAAATGTACCTTTGTGTATGCTTTTTGCTGATGATATCCTTCTCGTGTATAAGACGAGAGAGAAAGCTTAGGAAAAACTTGAATTATGGAGGTCTGCATTGGGGGTCTAAAGGCCTTCGTTGGATTAGAACTAAAACTGAATATATGGAATGTAATTTTAGTAGTAGTAGCTCTGGTGACGAAAATGTTACTATGGGTGATCAAATTATTAGAAGGTGTGAACGCTTTAGATATCTCAGATCTATTGTTTAAAGTGATGGTGATATAGATGGGGACGTTATTAGTAGAATCCAAGTTGTTTTTTTGAAGTGGAGGAATGCTTCGGGCCTATGTGTGATAGAAAAATATTGCTTAGACTGAAAGGAAGATTTTATAAGATGGTGGTGAGACCTGCAATGCTCTATGGCGCTGAATGTTGGTCTTTAAAAGAGAAGCATAAAACTAAGTTAAGTTTTGCTGAGATGAGAATGTTTAGGTGGACGAGTGGCTTTAAACTTAGAGAAAAAATGCCAAATGAATATATCCATGATAGGTTTGGTGTAGCTCCAATGACGGACACAATTAGATAGAGTAGTCTTAGATGGTTTGGTCACATTAAACATCGACCATCTGATGATCCGATTAGGAGAGCAGATGTTTTAGATTCAACTTATGTTAAGAAAAGTAGAGGTAGACCTAGGAAGAGTAGGGCATATTGTATATAAAATGATATTAATTTATTAGAATTTAATGAAAATATGACACTAAATAGGAAGCATGGAGAAAAAGGATTCATTTAGCCAACCCCACTTAGCGGGATAAAGATTTTGTTGTTCTTGTTGTACTAATATGTTCAACAAATCTAATGCAACACCATGCATTTATCATCTCTGTTAAGTTTTGGACCTATACTTTTAAGTCAATGTGAAGCCAGTAGTGGCAAAGTTTCATAGCATAATGTAATATAGCAGCTATCCTTCGACTTATCAGTACATTGTTGCTTACTTCAGTATAAGTACAATCCTTGTTAGGCATACAACTACCTGGCTTTGTTGCTCAAGGGATTATGGGTTTTGTCTTGTTATTTTGATAACAATGTTATTCAAATAGCAGCGTTATGTGTTCAATGCTGTCTGTTTGTTTCAATATTATTTTGAGAAACTTAATAATGTATAGAATGAGCATTAGTGAGTATGCTTTTGCTTTTTATCTTATTTCTTTTACCAGCAAGGGTTGGGTAATTTAAATTACATCACTTTTTTTGCTATCTTGGTCACCTCATTATGACTTGTTAATGCTATTCATATTGCCTCAATTTGGGAAAATAACAACAAACTAGAAATATTTTAATATTTATAAGAAAATATATCTTAACATCTCAATAAATAAAACTGCGACTTACTGAAAACATCGATATTTTGAAGAATAATTGACTTTATAGCAAGTGTTGAACTATATGAAGCATACATGTCTCTTTTCTATTAACTAACCAAAATACTTTATTTGTTTTACAGACTACAACTATAACATTGACCCAAACTATTTGAAAGAGGGCCAACTTGGCCAACTAGACTTTGTTTTACTTGGTCCCTACAAATGATAGGCCTTGCTATGCACACTAAGAGCTTGATTGTTTCTAGAAATATTCTCTACTAATTAACCATGTATATGTCTTAACAGTGCAGGGTGAACCAGCACAAAGAGTACTCTCTGCTCTAAGAAGATCTGTGATGAGGCGCACTAAAATGAACTCAATCTTTCAGGTGTGAACTCTTAATTATGTTCCTCTTTGATCGTTGATTTTTTCCCAACCTTGCTTTGTTTGATTGTTTGTATCAATAATGTCAGTATTTGTTAACTACTTGCTCTTAAAATCCTTAAAAGTCTACTTAAATCTAGAAATTTGCTCTTACAGTAGCTATGGACAAATTTATGTTTTGGGCATGCTATCCCTGTTTCTTCTCAGTCAACATAATGGATACTATATGTTTTGCTAGTTTGTGAAGGGTGATTCATCAATGAAACATGGATTAGAATATGGATAAATGCGGGAACTATTAGAGTCTAGAATAGGATGATTGGGGAATTATTAGCAACCGGGTCACAGTGGAAGAATCCTTTTCTAGAAATCATGGAATGCATCTTCTTTTATTTATTGATGACTAAATTCTCAACATCTAATGTAATTATTTACGCATTACGGGGTTACATTTTTCTGTTGAACTTAATTGTGTACTTGGAAATAATTTGCATTAATGTTACTGTTGCACCGAGGCTCATTTGATAGGTATGCCCAGTTCATACAGTTTTCTGATACATGATGCATGGAATTAATGTTGCAGACTTCTATGAAGGAATGTGGAGAAGTGGAAGCATCTCCTGTGGCAATTCTCTTCTCTGGAGGGTTAGATTCTATGATACTTTCTGCATTACTGGACCAGTGTCTAAACCCACAATGTAAGTTTATATATTCATATACAATGAAGTAATTGTTCAATAATCTCTTATATTCAGCTAAGACTTGGGCTTATATATAGCCTTACAACATTATTTACAAATAAATCCCTAAACTGATTCTTTATTTCCTATTTACAAATAGGACTCTAAACTTTACATAATTCTCAACCTAAGCCTTAGGATAGGCAAAAGATATCCATTAAGCCCATCATGTCACACAATCTAGATAGATCTAATCATCTAAGTCGCTTGGTGAGATAGTCGGCTATTTGCTCTCTAGTAGTTACATGATTTATCTCCATTAATCCACTATTCAGCTTCTCCTTGATGAACAACCTATCAATCTACACATGCTTGGTTCTATCGTTTTGCACTGGGTTGTTGGCAATGTTGATTGCTGACTTGTTGTCGTACCACAACTTCATTTGTGCTCTTTGATCCAACTTGAGCTCTACCAATAATGCTATTAGTCATAACAGCTCAGTAACGTCTAAGGCCATAACATCTTACCAATAATACTCTTCCTCTGCCGTCAACCTCACAATTGCTGACTTTTTTTTGTTCTTCCAAGAGACCAAATTGCCCCTGATGTGGATCTCCTGTCATCAACACAACTAGCCCAATCAGAGACATAGTAGCCCTCAATGCTTAAATGCCCATTTTTTCTGAAGATCAACCCTTCCCTAGTGTAATATTCAGGTACCTCAGAAGTTGATACATTACATCTATGTGACTTTTTCTTGGATCATGCATGTAACGACTCACTACGCTTACTGCAAATGATATGTCGCGACGAGTGTGACTCAGATGAGATGACACTCAACTTTCCCTTCTGATCAATTGGTGAAGTTGCAAGCTTGCATCCTGAATGCTCGTCTCTGTGAGCAAGTCTAGCGCATGCTTCCTCTGAGTTAGAACAATCCTCTCTATTCCACGAGCCACCTCAATTCCGAGAAAGCATTTAAGCTGTCCAAGGTCTTTCACCCCAAACCCTTTGCCCAAACTTGTTCCCAAACTTGTCTTCAGTTGAGCAATCTCTATGGAGTACTGATCGAACTCTGAATTAACCTAGTGCTTTTGGAAAAAAATATTTGAAATCTTAAATAGGCATTATAACTTTTAAAACTTGAGTTTTATAACAATGTAGCACTACAACAAATGTACGTATCGTTTAAGTAATATCGAATTATTGATATCGAATTATTGAGTCTAAGAAAAGTTCTAGCCTGGAAGTATAGTTGATCTAAGTTATGCTTGTTAATCTTACGAAGTTATTACTTTACTCCTACGTTATTTATACTAAAGCTAATTAAATTGAGAAAGATCAAGATATAAAAACTACATTTCCCTTGCAATGACATAAGTAATGTGTATATGAATGAAATATTTAGAATAGAAATTGTAGTAAGTGATAAATAGGAGCGAACCTCTTCTTTTCTCTCTTTCGATTGCATAAAGAAGTTTGGTTCAAACTTGGTTAGTGTTTTTGCCTGCCACCCTAGAAACCCCAATTTAAACCCATCAAAGCATATTTCTCTATCTATTTGCATTGTCCTATGAAATTCTTTTCCTTCACCCATTAGTGCAATGTGATTTCTCCTAGTAGTTAAAGCCATAAATCTCTCGATTGATTATGTATTCACAACAAATTTTAACTTATCACTTGACCAAAATGATAAGTAAATGAAGTACAAAGTAAAACCATCACTTTAATGATTAAAAACCTATTCTAAATACAACCAAATACCCTACACATATTACTAATTCATCATATGGGAAAGGTATGAAGTATCTACTCACATTGCATGAAGAAAACACTACAATTCATTATCTTATAATAAAACAAGTTCATACAAAATGATTTCACAACTAATACAAGACAATGTAGAACGAAACACTTATCTTTCTCCCAGAGAAAAGAATGATCTCCAAATGTTCCTTGCACTACTAACAACAATCCCTTGCAATATTCTTTCAAATCTCTCTAAGGAAATGTAGAATAATGTAAAACCTAACTCTAAACTCTCGATTTCTGCACCCTTAGGCTTTCTCCAAGACTTTCCAAATGATCCACCATCCGTTTGAACTGCTTCCATGGCTTCTTAACTTCCAAGTTTGTATATAAACAATTGCAGAAACCACATTGGACAATTCAGGCGCCTAGGCGCTCAGTTTGCGGCACCTAGGCGCCGCCTTCTCTGTTTGCATGGGGGAATTTTGGCGCCAAGGCGCCGTCTGCAGCACCAAGGCGCTATGGGATATGGTGGCTAGGCGCCAGCCTGCTGGTAGCCCCATTTGTTCCAATTGTCTTTATTTCGCTCCGATTTTGCTCCAATTCGCTCCAATTATCCTACCTGTTATGCCTGCAACAAAAATATAAAAATGTCTTTCTTTAAAGTACAATTTTATTCAAAAAAAATGCAAAAAGTAAAGTAAATTATGAATGATAAAAGACAGCAAAATCCCCAAAACTTAAACGTTATTTGTCCTCAAGTGACACTACAACTTTAAAAAGTAAATTTGTTGATTTAAGGTAGTAAGTTTCTTTAAGATTTTCAATAATTTTGCTTTAGGAATTCCATAGAGCTACCTAAGGGAAATTCTAATGGATCAGACTAGGACTACAGTATAAAAATATCCGAATATAAAAATATCTTGTATTCAACTTAAGAATTCTGATTTTCTATCCATTTCAAAATGAATTGCAATTTCTCATACTTCAGATTTCTAGAAAATATAAAAGACATAATTTAAAACACTCGATTAGTAAAGATTTGAATAATACTTCTATGAAATAAGAACAAACTTAGGATTGTATCTAAGTCTTCTCCTTTAAGAAAGTTCAAGTGAAATCAATTTTTAGTCAAGCTTCTTCTTACTTTTCATTTTTTTTACTTTTTTTTTACTCTTCCTTTTCTTTTCTTTTTCTTTTAGGATCATTTTCAATCATTTATACTTTTATGTGAGGATTACTATATCTGGATTGATCTTTAATAGTTTTAAATTTTACTATCCTTCTTTTAAAGTTAAAAACTCACCACTTTCTTTCACCGATAATTATGAGTATTAGTTTGAAAATAGTTTTTAATAGAGACTCAATTCTTATAAAGTAAATTTAAGAATCCTATTTTTTTCAAAAATTCAATTTTGTTTTTACTATAAATAGTAAAAGCATATATTTTTATATTTTTTACAAAATACCTCAAATCTAGAACGGTTCATTTTCCCTAAATCTCAACTAAGTTTTCTATAACATCTCTAAAGTCAAAATTATAGTACCCTAAAGGTAAACCACATACCACAAGTCATTTTAAATTGATATCAATTTAATATGTAGTCTACTGAGGATAAATAAAGTTAAGCTTTTTTAAAAGATTTTTCTCCCTCACCCAAACTTATTTTTTAGCATGTATGACATTAAGATCAAGTATATAAACAAGGAGAAAAGAAAACTTACTTTTTAACACAGGAGTCTATTACCAAAAATATATAAGTATAAGCAGATGAGACAAATATGTATAAGTGAATCTCAATTTAACATGTTAAGCATGAAATTTGCATTAAAAAAATCAGTATCACAACAGGTATGTTCCATAATCAAATCCAATCAGTGGCAAAAACTAATCCAGTACATCCAAACAGAAGCAATGAATACATAATCCAGTACATGAAACAAATATAAAAGAAAATACATCAATCTAGTAGTGACAAGGAAAACATAAATATAAAAGTATGCTACATCCAGATGAAAAGGGCTGCTACTCATTCCCACCATCATCATCATCACCATCATCCTTCATTGAGTCCTCATCGATCAGCTTGCAATGCTCATACAATTTATATGGAGGATAAGAAGAAAATTCCACTATTTTGTCTCCTCCGATCCATTGGTTCTGTCTATACATTTCCAACTAACCAGTATAAATACAAGCTTCATGATCGCTTCGACATTTGTTCTGCAAATCCAAATGCCTGCAGTATCATACACTTGATTCTGAATGATAGCAATAGCACCTTTTATAATCTTCAAATGTTCAAACATAGAAGCCGTGCTCATAGAAGGTCGAGTTGACGCATATGAAGTCGATGGTTTAGAAGAAGAAGGAACTTGAGAAGAACTAGCTCCACGTCCAAAAACAACATGTTTATCATATAAACTTAAATTGGCCTTACTAATAGGCTTTAATGGATGCAATAGCTCCTCCCATTTCTCAAAACCAATAACAGAATGCTGGCAAAGGGAGAAAATAAGAGATGGTATCCTAATCCTAAAGTAGAACCTCCTGACACAACATTGAGAATAGAATGGTAGATGATTGAGCCAATATCAATAGTCTTCATAGTCTGAATGCAATAGTTCACAGCAGCCATCTCTAGAGTAACTTCACTGAGATTGGTGGAAGGAAGAAGCTTGACAAAAATGAAATAATGTCAGGCCTTGGAAGGAGCATTCAGCATAGATGATGAAAAATTAACTTTATGATTATTTTTCACCTTCCAAGTACCCTTCCCATCAGTCAAGAACATAATAATCTCATCGAGCTCAAGTTAGAGGGTACAAATTTAGAGTAAAAACTATTGGGGACATCTCTCAAAGAAAATATGAATTAATACGTGAAGGAGTGATAGTCACTCTCTTCTATCTAACAAAGACTGAATCATTAGAGACATCAGGGAGATTAGCAAAGAACTCTCTGATTATAGAAATAATAGCTACAACAGTGATATAATAAAACGTCTCCCAATGACGAGATATAATAATAATTTCCACAGTACCACCAGGGCTAATGAAACTCCGCTCAGCAATTAGTTTCTTTGATACAAAAAATTCGTTGTATCGCTCCTGAGCTTTGGAGATAACGAGTTTCGTACGATCAAAAGAACTTTTATCTTTACTCTCCTTGATTTGGGGTGCCATCGCAATTCTAGATAAGCAAAAAAATGATGGAATGAGTTCAAATATATGATGTAATTGACTCAAAATGCATGTTTAGAATTAA